CAGTGGGGACAGGTTTGTCAGAGTCCATGAGATTGGCTCAAGATAGGGCAGGTTCGGAGCTATTGTTCATAGGCCCTCAGTACAATGTCCGTCTCTATCTCTTCTGACAGATTTTGTCTAAAAATCAACTCTTTCTAATGTTAAGATTGCAAGTCCAGCTCTTTTTTGGTTCTGTTTTTTGTATGGAATATTTCTTCCATCCTTCCACTTTTTTAAAAATAATTTTTTTCACTGTCAACCATATTTTGCGCTTGGGTCTGAGATGGTGTCTCTTGTAAACTTAAGTTTGAACATGTTTTTATTTTATTTTATTTTATTTTACTTTATTTTATTTTATTTTTGTGCGTGCGTGCACCATCAAATCAGATCTGACTGGTACAGGAGGAGATTATCCCTCCTTCTCCAAGCGGAGCATCTGGTGGATGAACATGTTTTTAAAAATCTATTCGACCACTGTTGATGGGAGCTTTTAATCTATTTACATTCAGATATTCTTTTGATCTCTCCGTCTGATCCTGTGGAATCCCCATGATTCTTGGATTGTTGGGAAGAGACGTCAAATTGAGCACGACTCATAACAACCCTGTGAACAACAGACTTGAACCCTGTCCTGTCCTGTGTCCCATCCTCACATTCTCTGACACACCTGAGCTCATTGCTGCAGTCACTGTCAGTCCACCAGGTTGAGGGTCTTCCTCTCTCTTGACGCCCCTCCACCATCCCACGCATAATGTCCATCTCCAGTGAAGACCCTCTCCTGCCAACATACCCAGATATGTGGGACGAAACTTCATCCTCTGTCTCCAAGGAGCACTCCAGCCACACTTTATCCATAAACTCTACACAGCCGGGGAGGGAGGGGCGGGCAGGGAGAAAAGGGCAACAACGAATGAATGGAAATCCAAAATCTATGGAAACATTCATTAAAATTAATTTAAAAAAAAAAACAAACCCAAAACTAAAAAACAAAACAAAACAAAAAACAACAACCCAAAACTGTACCACAACCTTCTTAAGCCACTGTTCTTAACTGCTTTTCAGTTTTCTAATTTTAACCATTTTATCTTTTCCTTCACAGGTTCTTCTTCTGCCTTTTCAAATCTGTTAGGTCCTTCTACCATTTATTTATTTATTTTAAAGTTTTTTAATTGCGATTTTAACAAAAGTTTACAGATAAGTTGAGGGTTTTTTTTAAATATTGTTTTATTGTTATTTACAATAGGTTTACAGAATATGCTGGTTTTTCTTCAATCATTCACATGTTTTGTTTTATAACATTTAGTACAATATCCATAAGGCAATCACATCTTTCCTATTTCCTCCCTGTAATTCTAATTTCCATTAATCCTCCTATCCTACTAGTTCTTGCCTTCAAGACTTTATCTTGGGTACATGCTCTCTGTCAATCTCCTTACTGGTGGAGGACTTGCTAGTTATTCTAAGGAGTGTGTCTCCCTTGTGTTTCCTATAGACACAATCTTGCTGGAAGCCCAGGCCACATCTATGGCTTGTGTTCAAGTCAGCCCTCTTTTTTTTTTGTGGGGGGGTGTTGCTTTCAGGTTTACTGGGGAAGAGGGTGGCAGAAAGCAGTCTAGATAAAAGATAAGTTGAGTTTTCATTCATTCATTGTTGCATAGTTTCCTCTTTCCTCCACCCAGGTTCTTCTTCTACTTTTCGTTTCAGTTATTGACCCTTCCAGTTGCTCTATTTTTTTTATTATTAATTTTAATGAACATTCACAGAAATTTTGGATTTTCATTCATTCGTTGTTACATTTTTCTCCCTGCCCACCCTTCCCCCTCAATTCTCTCCTTTGTCTGAAAAGTAAAATTCCTTCATTTGTATACAGCCCCCCTTTTCCGCACTATTTCTTTTAAGATCTCCAATTTGTTCATGCATTGTTCATCTTATTTTTTTTTAACTATTTCCTTTATTCTTTATTTTTATTTAATGTTGTATTATAGTCTTCCATTCTTTCCCACATTATTTGGTCACCCCTAGGTCAATAACAACAGAGATGCACTTTCCCTTCTCTTTTTGACATTTGTTTTGATAGGCCGTTGTTTCTCTGTTCACAGTATAACTTGTGATTTTGCTGTTGTTGATACATTGAAATCTTGGAAGGTATTAGCTTTCCCCCTTCTCAGTATTTGGTGGAGTTGACTGGGGTGCTGTCGGCAGAAAACTCTTTGATAGCAGAGCCCTGGGCCTTTACTTCCTGCTTCCTCTCCCTGCCTGTCATGGGTAGTTGCTTTTTCACTACTGGGTTTAATTGCAGTTCAGAAGTTGCCGATCCCAATTTTCCACTTCCATTTTTTTTTTTAAGTCATCCATTCTTGCTATTTATTGTCTTCTTTTTGGAACCAAAGGTAAAGAATTCAGAAATAATAACATCAAAGTATGTGTTTCCAATTAAGATCAGGCTCCCGTTTTTATTTTATTTTATTATTTGTGTGTGTTTGTGTGTGTACCGTCAAATCAGATCTTACTGGTACAGGAGGAGATTGTCCCTCCTTCCCCGGCAGAGCATCTGGTGGATTCAAACCATGCGCCTCTGGGATTGTAGTTGCAGCTTCTTGCCACTAGGCCACCAGAGCTCCCCCAGGCTCCCGTTTTTAAAATAGTTTCTTTACAATTAAGGAAGCAGCAGAAGACCCATGACAACTGATTCTTTCTTTGGAGAAGTTGGCAGAATGACTGGATTTAGGGACTTCACCATGTTGAATTTAAGAGGTGGAATTAAAAAGAAAAGCAGCCTTTTCCATTCAAAATCCCGGAGGTAAACTGTAGAGAAGTAATATCCAAATCTGAAGACAAGGTAATGTGGCTGGATAAAAGCCGCAGGAGTACCTGATACAGGAGACAACACAGAAATGCTTGTCAAGTCCTGAGTTCAGAATTTTGCTTTCTTTTCTCGGATGAAGAAAATATAAAAGCACCTAAATGTCAAGGAAAATGTTCTTCTTGTGTTAAGGAAGCTACATAATCCATTAAACGCAATTGACACCCCAGGGCCGGCCCGACCCCTCCGGCCCCAAGGCCAGTTCAGCAGGCTGCACCTCACTCCGCCATTTTCGCTCCTTCCAATTTTCTACTTTCATTCTTTTTCCAGATAACGTGGTCAGTTGGCCTCCCAGTCACGTGCTGCTCGTGTGAGAGTCTGAGTGCATAACAGCCTTTGTGCCAGCGAGTGTGGTCTTCCCTCAGTGGTTGTAACACCCTTCCCTTCTTGGTTTTTAAGCTGTGTTTTCAGTTGCAAACCCCACACCCTACAAGTCCTACAAGCTGTGTGTTGCTTCCTGCCTTTGCCTGAGCCCCTCTCCTCTGCTCTGTGGGGACCGCTGCTCCCTGAGCTGACGTTCCAGGCAAAGCATTCCGGTTTCAGGAGGAGGAAGCACTGGCCCTTACTTCCCAGCTGGACCTCTGAGGGATCTGCCTTGGAGGTTTTTTGGTCCAGTTGTTTTGGTTTCTGTTTTTTTATTTATTTGTTTTTTTAAATTGATTTTTATAGGGAGCTCTGGTGGCCAAGTGGTAAGGAACTGTGCTGCAATCCCAAAGACACATAGTTCCATAGTTCGAATCCACCAGCTGCTCCGTGGGAGAAGAATGGGCATTCTCCCTCCTCCCATGGGATTAACTGCCTCTAGATGGTCAGCTGTGGATTAGTTCTGACTTGACGGCACGCAACAATTGGTTTTCATACAGTAATTCATTTCCATTGTGTTTCATTCCTATACTTTGTGATCCATACAGTCCCCCACTTGGGTTTCATGCAATCATTCATATATGTTGTAGCCCGTATAATTAATTACCTCTAATCTATGCCTCTCATTACACTGTGTTTTCAAGTTCCCAGGTTTTTGTTTTAAAGTTACTGTATTGAATTGTAAAATCCCCTTAAATGGTAAAAGACTTGTCTTCAGAGAAATGCTTAGAAAGCCCCTTTGTAGACCAGCAGCTACACTCAGCCCTGTGGACACAGAAGAATAAACAAGACTTGTTTCCTGCAGCAGAGTAGAGACACAGACTGTCCACAGGGCCAGGGAACATCCCGTGGTCCTGCCGACTGGGGCTGCCCTGGGGCAGGGCCAGTGTCTGCTCGTGGTGATTGTCCAAGGCATACACCAGGCAGGCCCCGGGCTCGTGAGAGGGAGGCCCCAGATGAATGAAGGACTGTTGACGTCTATTTAGAAGTGGAAATTATTGGTGCCTGGTGGAGGCTCGGGGGTTTCATGGAGAAAGTGGCGTTTGAGGTGAAAGTAAGGATTTGGAAATTTGAGCAGCACAGAAAAACGGACAGTATGAAAGCGGTGACGCCGTCAGAGTAGGAAATGGGTTGTAGGGAGAGAAGCAAGCATGGGAGTCAGGTTCGGCTGGAAGAAGGAATTCCTGAAGGGGATGAGTGGTTGGTAAAGGTACTTAGGGACTCAAATCCTAGGAAGCCTTGGTGCCGGCTGAGAAAGCTGTGACGTTGTTTAGTTGGCAGCTGAGAGCCATGCAGCATTTTCTAAGCAGAGGAGGAGTGATGGGCTCCCGAGAGCTGACCTGATGTGTTGTAGGAAGGGCAGGGGATTTGGAGGCAGCCTGGAGAGTGACCCATGGGTCTGGGAGAAGGTGAGGATTGGAAACAGCAAGTGCCTATGCCAACCCTTCCGTCTTCTCCCGTGCTTCCTGCATTCTGGCCACTCTTGATGACTGGAATCTTCATCCAGCTCTCACTTCTTCAAGGAAGCGTTCCTTAGCCTTCCTCTACACTCCTCTATGTCCTTGCCACTGGGGGATTGTAGTTCTGTTTTTGTAAGCCCTTGTGTAGCGTCTGCCCTCCTCCGAGGGCAGGAGCCCACGGCAGCCCTAGTGTTCTCCACAGTCGTGTCTCTGCTCCCTTGGTGCCTGACACTGTTACCTGGCACTACCTTCCTGACTGACGGGATGGACAAAGCTGTTCTTTTGGGGGGAGACCTGCACCTCTGTGAGCCCATTCCTCTCTCTGCCGTTGGCAGGATGAACAGCTGAGGGCTCTGGTGAGGCAGTTCGGACAGCAAGACTGGAAATTTCTGGCCAGCCATTTTCCTGTAAGTACTGCCGCCAGGGGCAGGGGTTCTGGACGCTGGGTGACCTGTCACTGGGCTGGTGCAGAATTTCTGCCGAGGAGGAGAGAAAACTGTAGGAAGGCCCTTAGCAAGCTTGCCATGCTCCCTCACCCCAAAACACAATCTTCCGAAGACCTTTCCTCCCAAACCAGAATTTGGGGGTGTCCTGACACAAGTCCCCAGACATAGCAGCCTGAGTGCCCCGCTGGTCTTTAGGCTTTGCCGTACCTGGAACAGCCATAGCTACAAAGACACGTTCCCTCCTGCAAGGTAGGCGCACTTGGGTAGTCAGCGTTTGGATGGCAGGAGGTGGATTTCCACGTGAACCGAGCACCAGTGTCCTCCTTCGCCCTCTAGCAGCAGAGGGGTGTCATTCCTGTTCTGACTGGGCAGCTGGGTAGCGTGGCGAGTATATTTATGTACCGGAGTTATGTCTGACTCCAAATACCAACTTGGGGTCAACATTCCACCAGGACCCAAGGCTGAGTGATCCAGAAACACTGACCATCCCTGTTTGCACTCCCCAGAACCGCACTGACCAGCAATGCCAATATCGATGGCTGAGAGTTTTGAATCCAGATCTGGTCAAGGGGCCGTGGACCAAAGAGGAAGACGAAAAGGTAACCTCCTGGGGTACGGTAGGCCTTGTCACACACCCCACCCCCCCTTTCCTTCCACCACTGATGGAGGAGCTGTGAAGCTGTGCGTTGAATGTGGTTTCTCCACTGGCCCATACTGTGGTACCTTTAGCCTAAGGTGATGAGTCTCTGTTGTTGTTCTGTCTCCATAACTGACCCTCCAGCAGGTTTTCAGAGACAGTAAATCTCACAGTAGGTGTTTGCCCATCTCCCCCCACCCACCATGAGCAAGTAGTGGATTCGAACCACCCACCTTTGGGTTGACAGTATAATTCCTTACCCCTAAGCCACCAGAGCTCCCTAATGGGTCTCTTTCACCAGTCATGAACTGAGAACTATTTGACACATAATCATGAAACCAAGTTTGCCACTGACCAGCAGTGTGGAAATAGGCAGCTATAGTTTCCTTGTCAGTAAAATGTGGCTAACAGCAACTACAAGATAATTGTGAAGCGTAAATAGGGTAACAAATGTGAAGAATCAAGGTCATTGACAAAGCGCTTGTCGTAAAGAGTCACACTAGTCAGCAGTGAAGCTCCTTGTCACCTCAGCCAACTCTTCTTGCTTAGATGATCTGTTCTGTCTAGATTGATACCCAGCCTGGATACCCAAGTGGAAATTGGACACACAATAGACAGCAAATAGGCACACAAAGCAGGGTCCGCACATTTTGTTGGTATTCTGAACACAGGGAGTCTGAATTCAGCCTGGCTCAGCTCTCCAGGCCAGCACCTAGCTTGGGGCTGCACGCACACAGAATGACCAGGTTCCTCACCGCAGCTCTGGGCGTGACCAGGAGTAGGGAGCTCTGACTCCCGCCTTTAGGCCTCATGGCCCCGCTGTGGAAGTGAGCTTTGGGTGCTGGTCCACTGTCCCTGTGGGCAGGTGCTTTCCTTTCCTGCCTCTTTAACTGGAAATGTTGCCTGAGTGAAGCATTGAAGAGGGAGGGAGGCCCTATTCTTGTAGGGAGTTACGTTGCCAACCCAAAGGTTGTGCCTCTCCACCAGTTCGAATCCACTAGATGGGCAGTCCCCTCCTGTGGGATTAATGGTCTCTGAAAACCCCCTGGAGGGTCAGCTAGGAGTCAGTTCTGACTCGCTAACAATTTTTTAATCTATTTTAGAAGAGTCTTTGGCACTCTTGGCCTGGCTTTATTCAAGGTGGTGAATGGCAGGGATAGGGCTTGGTCCTCAGCCAGGCGCCCGTGGTCCACACAGAGGACCTCTGAGCAGTGTCCCCCACGACCACTGTGACTCCCACATTTCTGAGGTGGGATAGGGCAGCTTGCAAGGGCCAATTGCACCCTCTGGGCAACAACAGTAAGTGTGCATCCTGGGTCAGAAGGTGCTTTGGTGCAGGTTCCACTGACGTCCCCGAGGCTTTTCTCCAAGGTGATCGAGCTGGTCAAGAAGTACGGCACGAAGCAGTGGACACTGATCGCCAAGCACCTGAAGGGCCGGCTGGGCAAGCAGTGCCGGGAGCGCTGGCACAACCACCTGAACCCTGAGGTGAAGAAGTCGTGCTGGACTGAGGAGGAGGACCGCATCATCTGTGAGGCCCACAAGGTGCTGGGCAACCGCTGGGCTGAGATCGCCAAGATGCTGCCGGGGAGGTGAGCTCTCCTTCTGGGGACTGGAGGGGGCAGCCCTGCTCGTGATGGGCAGGCTCCCTGAGGGGGCGTTGTGTTCCTGTCTCACCCCCAACCTCAGTTCTGGAGGTCACTAAAAGTCACGTATTGTCAGGAGGACTGTAAGGGCAGCTTCAGGCTGGAGTGGGCAGGCCGCAGGTGGAGGTGTCTCTGGCCTTGTTCTCAGCTGGACTGTCTCTCCTTGGTCAGCCTCTCCCTGTGTAGACCTTAGCTTCTTTCTTGGCTGAAATAAGAGGTGGAGAGAGTGAAAAGTGGGCTTTCCCTACGCAACAAAAAAAATAGATAAAAGCCATAGTTTATTTTGCTAAAAGGGTTATAATGAAAACATCAGTGCCCTGTCTTCAGCCACCAAGTCTTCCTACTAAAGTAGTGACTCCCCTTTTTAGTTTTTTCTTGTACTATTTAACTCTGTGTTTGGAAATGTTGTGCTAACTTGCACATCTCCATACTGCCCCAATATAAAGCTTTAGGGTTGTTTTTGTGTGTGTGTGTTTGTTTGGGGTTTTTAATTTTTTTAAAATTATTTTGTGTGTGTACCATCAAATGGGATCTGACTGGTGCAGGAGGAGATTGTCCCTCCTTCTCCAGCAGAGCATCTGGTGGATTCGAACTGCACACCTCTGGGATTGCAGTGCAGCTTCTTGCCACTAAGCCACCAGAGCTCCCTATAATGTTTTCATTTTAAATTGAAACATGGGTTTGCATTATTATTGCCATGTAACTTTTTCCTTTTTTTTTATTAATTTTAATGAACATTTACAGAGATTTTGGATTTCCGTTCATTCCTTGTTGCACTTTTCTCCCCACCCAACCACTCCCACCCCCAGTTCGCTCTTCTCTTTGAAAAGTAAAAGAAAAATTCCTTCATTGGTATACAATCCCCCCGCACTCCCCCACCCCCACCTTGAGTATACTCCACTCTGCAACCTTCATTCAGGACTCTTATGATAATCATAATACCCTATAATACATTGCTTTTAAACTGTTCTCTCCCTCATCCGTTTCAATGCAGTATATATAATTTACCCAGTTTTTCTTATTCTTACCCCATCCCTGATGTCAGTCCCATTCTACAACAGTGGCACTATGCAGTCTTTGTCCTTTTGTGACTGAGATATTTCACTCAGCATAATGTCCTCCAGGGTCACCCATTTTGAATAATATTGCATGTGCCATGTAACTTTAATACGTTCTTAAATGATCTTGAATTTCCTTTCTTGTACCACTTTTGTTTTTTCTGGAATTAATAATTGCTTCTTTCCTCCCTACACAGTTTATTTCAATAAAGCTTTATTTCTTTTTTTTTTTTTTGTCTGTGGCCCAGGTCTTAGTTAGCCCAAAACAGACTCAGCTGCGAGTTGTTTCTGGCTCTTACTAACTTTGACCTACTTCTGAGGTTTCCGAGGCTGTACATTAAAATGAAAGGAGATTGTTGATCTTTCTCTCGGAGCTGCTGGTGGATTTGAACTGCTGGAGATGTGTGGCCTTTGGGTTAACAGTGTAACTCACTATGAACTGTGCCCCCAGAACTCCCTCTTCAGTCTCCGTGCCACTAGGAAGCCCATTCCCGAAGATACCGTAACCGCAGATGGAACGTTCACTCACCACCAGTCAGCCAGTTCTGACTCCTGTCCACTCTCTGTTGGGTTTCTGCGGCTGTAAATCTTAACAGGAGGAGACTGCCCGTCTTCTAACCAGGGAGCGTCTGGTGGACTTGAACTCTTTTAGTTAGTATGTTGTGGTGCTGGTGAAGTGTATCAGATCCACACTGGGCTGCTGCAAGAAGGAACACACACAAACAAGGCTGTTTCAGAGGAAATGCAACCAGGTTGCTCCTGAGAAGTTACGGTGGTAAAGCTTCGTCTCACATGCATTAGACCTGTTGTCAGGAGAAGACATGCTGGGAAAGGCAGAGAGTGAGCAAAGGGTCAACTCTCAACGAGATGAACAACGCACTTGATCGTGAGGGCGGGCAGGATCGAGGAGGTTCAGATCTGTTCACGGGGTTGCTATAGGCAGATGGTACCTATCGACAGCAGTAACCCCTTTTAGAAAATTCTTTTGACCCAAGAGTTTTCCTTTCTAAGCTTCTTTCCTTGTCTAGTACCCTGTTCTTATTTATAGCTGTCACAGCTATTTCTCTGTTGCTGCTAATGCTTTTTTGAAACTAGCTCTCCCGTCCCCTGTTCCCTGTGTATTTGCTTTGCTAGGTGAGCTTTCTGTTAGACGCTTCCTCCACAGGTCTCCTGATTATGTGTCCATTCACATGCCCGTGAGGCACTGAGGGTCACGGGGAAGTCGTACACAGCCCGGGCTCCTGTGCTGCCCTGTGCTCATGGGGCTCACCACCTGGAATTGGACAGCCAGTGACCTTTGGCTGAGAGAATGAGCCTGTGGAAGTCCTTTCCCCTGGCACTGTTCAGTTTTACCAGAGATAAATGAATCCTGGCGTACTCCGTAGGAAGTTGCCCTGTTAATGCAAAGGTGACGCCTCTTAGCTGGTTCAGATCTGTTCTTCGTGGGAGAAAGATGGACAGTCTTCTCCCATGCAATGGACAGTTCCCAGAAACCCTCTGTAGAATGAATTGAGTTGCTTCTTGCCTAAGGGTGCTTGGGCTTGATTACTGGAGAGCTTTTTTTAAAATTTTTTTTTCTTCTTTTTAAAGAATTTTTTTATTATTTTGTGCGTGTGTGTGCGCGTACCGTCAAATCGGATCTGACTGGTACAGGAGGAAAATGTCCCTCCTTTCTCGGCAGAGCATCTGGTGGATTTGAACCGTGCACCTCTGGGATTGCAGTGCAGCTTCTTGCCACTAGGCCACCAGAGCTCTCCTTTTTTTTTTTTTTTTTTTTTTTTTTTTTTTTTTTTTTTCTTTTCATTTTTTTATATTACTTGCTGTGTGCTGTCGAATCAGATCCAACTGGCACAGGAGGACATTGCCCCTCCATCTCCAGCGGAGCATCTGGTGGATTCGAACCGTGCGCCTTGGGATTGCAGCGCAGCTTCTTGCCACGAGGCTACCAGAGCTCCCTTTATTGGAGAGCTCTTAAGCATCATGTGGAGGAGGAGACAGGTCTATGCTGGGTTCCTCTACTGTTGTGTTATTTGCTTCTAGAATACTCTTCTGGTACTGCACTGCTTTTTGTTTTATACCATGTTGTGTGTGTCTGATACCACATTACTCTTTGCTTCTCTACTTCTCTGGACCCCTTTTGGTACTCTATCATTTCATATCACAGTAAGAGTATTTCTTCAGTGTTATTACTGTTACAGCATCTTTGCTTTTGTAGATGATGAGGACAGGGCAAGACTCAAAACTGTGGTTCACAGGGCTGCCAAGAGTCCTACTTGACTTGACGGCACCTACCAATAAGGAACCCTGGTGGCCTAATGGGTAAGGAGTTGTGGTGCCAACTCAAAGGCAGGGAGTTTGAGTCCACCAGCCGCACAATGGGAGGCAGATGAGCAGTCTGCTCCATGCAGTTTATGCCTGTGGAAACCAGCTGTCAGTTGGATCCGACTTGATGATACCTAACAGTAGTCCTGAAGGGGAGCTCTGGTGGCATGGCGTGGTCTGTAGAGAATTTCACTGTCTACCCACAGGCAGCGTCTCTAGCAGTTCGAATCCACCAGCAGCTGCATGGAGGAAGGATGGGCAGTCTTCTCCTGTGCTGTCTGCAGCCTCAGAAACTCAGCGGAGGGTCGGGTCTGAGGCAGGACTAATTCCGAGTTTGAGTCTGCTACCCTGTATTATGTCCAAAGTGTCCAAAGTATGTCAGATGAAGCCCCAGAATCCTTGCCTCCAAGGAGTAGCTTGGTTTAATACTCTCCAAGATGGATCTGTTTGTTTTCCTGGCAGTCCATGGTACATTCAGTACCCTTCTCCAGCACCACAGCTCAAAAGCAGCGCAGGAGGAGAAGACCCTCTATGAGATGGATTGATTCGGTGACTGGGGTAATCGGGATGGGTGTGTCAGAGGCGGTGCGGTTGGCGCAGGATAGAGCAGGGTTTAGGG